AAAAAAACCTTTGCACTGCATTTCATCGCTGTCATTAAAGGACCTGCTGAGATCATGTCAGTAATCGTCTTGTTAACTCAGGTGAGAATGTTGACGAGCACGAGGCTGGAGATCATTATGTCAGGCTGATTGGGTTAGAATGGCAGACCTGACATGTTAAAAGGAGGGTGATGCTTGAAATCATTGTTCTTCCATTGTTAACCATGGTGACCTCCAAAGGAACGCGTGCAGCCATCACTGCGTTGCATAAAAATGGCTTCACAGGCAAGGATATTGTGGCTACTAAGACTGCACCTAAATCAACAATTTATAGGATCATCAAGAACTTCAAGGAAAGAGGTTCAATTCTTGTTAAGAAGGCTTCAGGGCATCCAAGAAAGTCCAGCAAGCGCCAGGATCGTCTCCTTAAGAGGATTCAGCTGTGGGATCAGAGTGCCACCGGTGCAGAGCTTGCTCAGGAATGGCAGCAGGCAGGTGTGAGTGCATCTGCACGCACAGTGAGGCGAAGACTTTTGGAAGATGGCCTGGTGTCAAGAAGGGCAGCAAAGAAGCCACTTCTCTCCAAAAAACCCATCAGGGACAAATTGATCTTCTGCAGAAAGTATGGTGAGTGGGCTGCTGAGGACTGGGGCAAAGTCATTGCTGATTGTTTGGGGCATCTAGAAAAAGACTTGTCTGGAGAAGAAAAGGTGAGCGCTACCATCAGTCCTGTGTCATGCCAACAGTAAAGCATCCTGAGACCATTCATGTGTGGGGTTGCTTCTCATCCAAGGCAGTGGGCTCACTCACAATTTTGCCCAAAAACACAGCCATGAATAAAGAACGGTACCAAAACACCCTCCAACAGCAACTTCTTCCAACAATCCAACAACAGTTTGGTGAAGAACATTGCATTTTCCACCACGATGGAGCACTGTGCCATAAGGCAAAGGTGATAACAAAGTGGCTCGGGGACCAAAACGTTGACATTTTGGGTCCATGGCCTGGAAACTCCCCAGATCTTGATCCCATTGAGAACTTGTGGTCAATCCTCAAGAGGCGGGTGGACAAACAAAAACACACTAATTCTGACAAACTCCATGAAGTGATTATGACAGAATGGGTTGCTGTCAGTCAGGATTTGGCCCAGAAGTTGATTGAGAGCATGCCCAGTCGAATTGCAGAGGTCCTGAAAAAGAAGGGCCAACACTACAAATACTGACTCTTTGCATAAATGTCATGTAACTGTCGATAAAAGCCTTTGAAACATATGAAGTATGTGAAAACTATTAGTGTAGCACAACATTATTTAAACTGAGCCCTTCCAATGATTTTTACAGATGACAGCGCTCTGCCTTCTTGCTGGGAGGACATGAAAGGAGACCTTGTGAAGTTGTTTGCTCTGACTCCAGGAGCTCAGGAATACAACGATGTGGAGCAGGAACTGACAAAGGCCGGACTTTATCTTAACATCATCAGCGTATGTTCAGTCACAAATACACAGAGCAGACTGTATGACTGTGATGGTTAAAAATAATTGGCTAGTAAAATTAAAGTTCTAAATTTCAACTTTAAATTGAGTTTGTTTCTCATAGACTGTTTATGAAATATGTGTGAAATTAAATTTTTTATACATCCCACAGAAACAAATACCTGATAATTTATGTCAGTGTAGGTTTTCATGCAGGTCATGCTTGAGATGAAGTCAACTGGACTTTTTAGGCGCTTAAAGATTTTTCACCTGGCATCTAAAAAAAAACATCCTAGAATTTCACTTAACAAATTGGAGCACAGACTTCTTTGATGGTCTCTTAGTGTTAACCACAGAGTAAGCTCCAAAAGCCATCAATAACATGGAAGTGGTATTTCTTAAATACACTTAAATAGATTAGAATATAAAAAATGAGCCCCTGTACAGTTGTTATGACTATATTTAGGACAGTGCAATTTTCTTTTTTAAATTGTGCACTATATTTTCTGCTGTTTATTATTGCTGTGCAATATATTCATTTTCCTAATATTTTGTAAAAACTTCGCCTATATTCTTACATGTACATTTTTTTTATACCTTACAGATTTAGATTTGTTTATTATTTATATTGTACAGTTCGATGGTGAGTAAATGCACCAAAATGTTATTCTGATGTGCACTAACTGGTGTATGTTCTGAATGACAATGAAGTAGATATTCTTGGAATTCTCTTCTATATTCTTATGAAAGAGACCAAAACCTTCTGCATCAGGCTGTAAACATGTTTATTTCTGCTGTAGGACTGACTCACTACTGGAGGCAGCTTCAGCCATCCTCTTGGGGAGACCTGTGTTGTTTCAAAGTTCATGTACAGAGACAGCCACCCCAGTGTTTTCATGACAAGAACAGAAATATTATTAGAGAAAAGTAACAGACATAAGAAGGGGAAGAATTGTGAGAATTAATTAATGTTATGTTTGGACTCTTTTGGCAGATTGAACGTGTGCAAAATCCAGCACTGTGGCAGAACTACCAGATCCTGAAGAAACAAATGGAGACAAAGAATAAACACACAAACAACGAACGGCGTCTGTTTCACGGCACCACTGACACCTCCATCCATCTGATCAACAGCAAAGGCTTCAACCGCAGCTACGCAGGAAAAAATGGTAACCAAACTGACACACACAGAGTTCCAGTTAGAATATATTAAAATTAGTGCTGGTTCACATTAATTGCTAATCAAGCAGCATAATCAATGAAACCCTCCGCTTATCCCCCCTAAATAATGTGAACTGTTAAATATATTTTCTGGGGATTTATGATTTTTCATTAGAGGGGCATTTTAAGTGCACCTTGACTGATATATCAGCACAGCTGTGTGTGTATCAGCAGAGCTGACATATTGGCTGATATGAGCTATTTGCCAGTATATTTAAAACCAAAACAATGAAAATGTACAAATTTTGTCCACTAGAGGGCACTCTGCAACTTCCTTGTTGGCAACACGTTTGGACTTCAAACGACAACGAGCCTGTCCGATCAGACCGGGGCAGAACATACAAGAGTAATCCCAGACTTGCTGTCACAATAAAACAAAATTAGTTTGAACCCATATTGTGACATTATCTTACTGTAGACTCATAAGTAAAAAAAACAAAACAAAACATGACAAATCTGTTGGTTTTTTTGTCTGTAAAATGATTATTTTATCAAAACTTAACTCAAATGTTTTTGAGCCATAAATTCAGCATTGACAGAGTAAGTTTTTTTTATTTTTTTATTGTTCTTTTCCTAATTGAATATAGCACTTGTTTTTACACACACTCACTATTTTAACTATTTTAGTGAGGACATTCATTGACATAACGCTTTCCCTAGCTGCTTAATGAATGCCTAACCCTAACCAGAACCTAATTGTAACCCTGACACTAAAACCAAATTTTGAGCCTCAAAAATGCTTCAAACTTTTGAGGACCTGTGTGTGTGTGTGTGTGTGTGTGTGTGTGTGTGTGTGTGTGTGTGTGTGTGTTCACAAGTGACTGTTGGTCGTCACAAGTACAGAAAGTACACAAACAGTAGTGGTTTTTGACACGGGCGGTTGCCCGGGGCGGCATCGTGGTGGGGGGTGACATCACGGGTATCGGCAGAGAAAAAAATAAATTGCTCGTACTCATGCTGCCCCGACATCAGCCAGCGCATATTGGGAATGTCGGAGGCACCGATCGGTTTTCTATCGCCCATTTGCTGGGAGTAAGGGCGCCCTCTGTTTGCGAGGTGCGCCTGCTGCTTGCGGCGCAGGGAGGAGAGGGCGGGGCGGCGGGGAGCAGCATCTAATAACCAACTCACAAAATAAAAACAAACACGAAAACAGCAGACATCATGATACAGACTTATAATTTGCACTGATGTTTTTTTTTTTTCTTGATTTTAATTCTAAAATCAAGTGAGCGCGAGAGCCCTCGGTGCGCGTGCTCGCTGCTGAAGTCAAAGTAAACTTTATTGTCATCTCCGCTACAGACAGTCCAGCATATAGAGAGACGAGACGACGAGGCTCCAGTTACAGCAGTGCAAGTAAACAAATAAATATAAGAAGAGTAAGAAAATAAATCTACACTTTAGGACTCGGGGTAAAGGATCAATAACAATTTAAAATTTATAATTTACAGTTTGATGATTTAAAGTCTCACAACCCGTCGAAAGGGGAGGGGCCTGCTGCTTCCAAATAGAGCACATTTCATTCATAATGTTGTAAATCCAAGCCCATCATGTATTCATGATTTGAATCCTGGGTTGTACGAAATCCCAGAAATAAACCTTAGACAAAGTGAATCTGTGAACTAAGGTGTAGGTCTGTTGTGTTATGTTGGGGTGATCCTCGTTGGGGGATTTGTGTTCATACTGGAGTGCAAAATTAAAACTAGTGGAAGATGGACAAGAAAAGTTCAAAGCCATCAGGTGCTCAGTTTAGAAAAAGAGAAAAGAAGAGAAACGAGCAAAAGATGCAGGTAAGCAGATGTGTGATTGGATAATGGCAGGTCATCCTGAACCAATCAGAGTCAGGAAATAATGTGGGTTACAGTTGCTCCAAGAAGAAATGGTAAAATAGTAACAGTAACAGACTAAACTCCAAACAACACATTATGTTGCAGATTTTAATATTAATTAGTCATTGTCAATTTGTCCTGTTCTCATTGTGTGATGAATTATGATGGCTGTTTGGTAGCCGTTTGCATACAATGCGCACACACACACATGAAGAGAGAGAGAGAGTGTGTGTGTGTGTGTGTGTCAGATGT